CCAGTGGGTTTTGACAGGTTATGATATGGCAAAATTATGGCAACCCTGTAGACCTGGTGATTTGACAAGGTCAATGACATAGATAGTTGCATATATTGATCATCCATCTTTTTCAAAATAAACATAAGCTTATGCCTTGAAGTAAAAATGTAAGCAATTATTATTTTTTAAATATCTAAAGACTGAAAATTGGTTTTAAAATACATTTTTGCTAAACCGATTCAAATTAATAAATATTTGCCAGGCGATATGGCCGCTCGAAAACGACCAGCTTTGAGCAATCTATATAACTATATATGTGTCATTGACCCTGTTAATGACAGCATGACAACAGGGTTGCCATATCTAAACTGTCAGTCCCCACTGGTAGCCATTTGGACAGGTCGTTGGAATGCCTAATTGTTTACCTGCCAGTGTCGTTTCAATGAATAAGTAATTTTAAATTGTTACCGGCGGAATCGGACAATCGCATGTATTTATGGACTATAAATAATTATTAAACATGTATTATAATATTCAAATCATAATTTTACAAAATTTCAACAAACTATTCACAATTTATTAAACTATTTACTCAAAATTGTTATAAACCTCTATAAAATAATTTCGTACGCCAATGTATTGCGTCCACTTCGGTGAGATCCGCTACAAACCTGTCAATTTATGTGTATAAAGTGGGAGAACTGGCAAAAGCCTTTCCAACTTTTACTTCTGCTATAAACCACAAATAGTCGGCATTCGCTCGGCCTGATACCGGCATGTACGGGAAGCCGAGTACTCGGATTGCCGTTGTCGGGGTTGCTTCTGAGCCGGAAGGGCCGTACCATTTGACGTAATTTAGAAGTAGACACCGCATATGGTCCATATTTGGCTTTCCAGACATGGAAGGCATCCTTACGGGCCGAACGCGGTGAGTATATTTGGGTAGCCGGACATGGGAGGCACCCTTACGGGCCGAACTATATATAGATATATGAACGCAGCTACAATGTAGTGGGCTGCCGACATTCGGCTGGGCGGACATGCCCTACCTATATGCCGAAGCTGCACCCGTATATTGGGCCGAGTCCGGCATCCGGCAAGCCATCTTCGGTCCAGTTACGGTGCCGATTAACTGTGTTTATTGGGTAAGTTCAAATTGTTTTTAATTTGTCCAAACTTAATTTATTTTTGGAAACACTAATGAGCTTTCTTTAGCTTACAAATTCTAATATTTTGTTTTCTATTAATAAAATAAAGCTTTTTCTCTGTAGGAGTTAAATTTATTTTGCAAAACAGTTTTTATTCGTCTTTAGGGTTGTTCAAATTATTTATCACTATAATACATTAAGTTTACGTTAACAACTCATTTCTTGTTTTTCGTTGTGAACAAGCAAATCTCTTATGCTGCTGCCCAATAAACACAGTTGATCAGCACCGTAACTGGGCCGAAGGAAGCTTGCCGGGATGCCGGATGCCGGACTCGGCCCAATATACCTACGGGTGCAACTTCGGCATATGGGTAGGGCATCTCCGCCCAGCCGAATGTCGGCAGCCCACTATAATGTAGCCGCGTTCATATATCTATTTATAATTCGGCCCATAAGAATGCCTCTCATGTCCGACTAGCCAAATATTCACCACGTTCAGCCCGTAAGGATGCCTCCCATGTCTGGAACACCAAATATGGACCAAATGCGGTTTCTACTTCTAAATTACGTCAAATATGGTACGATCCTCCCGGCTCAGAAGAAACCCCGACAACAACAATCCGAGTACTCGGCTTCCCATACGCATATTTACACATCCTCCTATATGACGGCACCGGAGTGCTGAAATCTGTTCGCCTTTGTAGCCTACAAGTACGCTACAAAAGCTCATTGATTTAGACACCCATACAAATTTTATGTTATGTGAGACTTTTCTTTTCAATTTGAGCTGTGTCCAGGCCGTTGGCGTCTATGCCGGTAGGCGTAGCCAGGTATGGGTTAAAAATTTTTGGTGGCGGCTTCGTCGTTACTTCGTTTCCTTCTTGTATATTTTCTTTTTTTTAATCCCAACACACTTCAAATGCGTCATTTGAATGACATCATGTCTATTAACGGCATTTTAGTACACGACCGTTTAACGGCAGTTTAAGTACAGCCATTGTTTCATAGAATTCAGATAAGTTTGCTTACTGATTCCAGCAATAAGAGAGGCCTCATGCATTTGTGCCTAAATCAATGAGCTTTTGTAGCGTACTTGTAGGTTACAAAGGCGAACAGATTTCAGCACTCCGGTGCCGTCATATAGGAGGATGTGTAAATATGCGTCCCACGAATTTTAACATTAGAAGGAAAATGAAAAAAAAAAGGTTTTATTTGAATATCCATCAGCTTGTTGAATATTAGATGAATACTTATTTAAACAATTAGGATCTGAACAAAAATACTTAGGGTCTATTTATACTCCCTTTATTTGCTGCGTTTGAGAATCCACATCGGATGCATCTGAGATGTAAAAAATCTTTGATCACGTGATGCAGTATACGTAAATGTAATGGGACAGATGTGTCCGATGTGGATAAAAAAACGCTCGAGATGTAAAAAATGCATCCGATGTGGATTCTCAAACGCAGCAATTGTTAGTAATTGCATTAGTATTATGATTTTTAATTAAGTTGAACCTTCACAATGTAATGGGGACATTTATACTCGATTTATGATTATTCTAGCATTAATATTTATGCTTAATGAGTGACAGGTTCAATTTTTATGTTAAGGGTCTATTTATACTCCCTTATTATTAGTATTTGCATTGTATAAGTTGGTATAAGTATTAGGATCATAGATTAGGATTAAGCATTAAACTGGACAAAATATTCAAAAAAGGGTATTTATCAGTGGCGGCTCGTGGGCACTATCCAGACAGCACACCAAATCCTTTGGATATCTACTGAACATCCCAATATCTACTGAATATCCAGTCCATGGTAGATATCTATTTTATATCCATGAAATGTAATTTATAGTCATGCAAATGTCCATAAATAATAGTAATTATATAGCAAATTATTAAAAAATTACGCCATTGTGCTCGCCATTGTGGCTAATAGTACCGTTCAGATATTTAAAATTAATTTTTTTAAGGTGTATTCAATATCCCATGAACATCCACTAAATATATCAAAGTCTAGGCGCGAACGAAAACCATCGTGGATATCCACTAGATGTTATTTGATTCTGCTTACTAAAGTATAGATGGCGATACCACTATCGCATCTACTCATGCTCGACCCGCCTTAATTGAGTTCGATCGAATGTGTAATCACTCCATTAGAGACTGGAGTCGAGAATTTTCATTTATTGCTGAAGAGTCCTAATAAGGATGACTTTCTCCTTAGTGGGCAAAATCAAAGGCAGAGTGTTGAAAATATTTTGAGTGTTGAAAATATTTTTATCTCTGCTATTTTCTTTCGACGTTATTCAATAATCATTGGTTACTTATGATTATGAACCTCTACTAAAGATACCTATAAAGTATTTTGCTGAATATCCGAATATCTTCTATATCCTGGGATATAGACGGACATTTGGTTGGATATCCATATTGGCTATATTGAATATCCACAAAATATATTCTGTGGATATCTTTGTGATTTCTTGTATTTTCTGGAAGATACCCATTAGATTTTTTGCTGAATATCCATTAGGATATCTTCTATATACTGGATATAGACGGACATTTGGAATTTGGATATCCATATTAGATCCACGGAATATTTCTGATATCCTGTGGATATATTGGATATCCACAAAAGACTCTGAAGAAAAGGTGTTTGGCAATTTAAAATCTCCCAGCGAAAAATTTCTCTTTTATATTTTCAAATTAGAAAAAATATTTATATCTCTATTTGATAGTTTGTCAACTAAGCCTGGAATTTCAAACGCATACCTTTTTGAGATGAGCAAAATAGAATTTGGTCATCCTTGCCAACAATTTGCGCAAATGTACACCATTAAATTATTTATAAGACTGAGATTTTTTTATACTCTTAAATATGCAAACAGAGATTTGAAATCCTCGAAAAAGTCAGAAGAAACCAAAAGTAAAATTTTGTCCCATTTATAAATATTATTGATTTTTTTTTATCATATTTTTGACTGCTTTATAAAAAAAAAGTTATTTTTCTTTGTAGTTTTATTTCTTAACTATTCCAATGGTCCAACTAACGTTTTTTTCGTAATCACAATAATCAATAAATTATTATCATGGTCCAACACGTGCACCTTAAGCCAAAACCGGCATCGCCTTTGTGAGGGAGCCGGTAAAGATGCCGCTGCGTACATTCGTATCTGGTCTAGGTAATCTGTGCCATGGGTACAGCACGTCACGATAAGGACAGCGCCCCGCTTGTGACGTATAATCCATCGCATGTTTTCATCTCTTGCTAAGTGATATTGTTGTTGTCCTTGTTTTTCGCATAATAATGAGAGAGAAAACAACAGAGGCACACATTTACTGTGCCCTGTTCTACTTAATTTCGGAATTCTCAGAACGTCGCTCAACGCCCGGTCGTCCAGTGTCGTGCCAACGCGGTTTGCGCTGAATATTAGATAAAATAATAATAGCCATTGAGGAAAATATAAAATATGTAAGTTATTTTTTTTTTTTTAGTTTATTATACTAGGGCACGTGCCCAAGTGCCCTTACGGGCAAACCGCCACTGGTATTTATACTTCTTTTATAATAGGTCTTTTCCTTTGCATCGAAAGTGTAGGACCGACACATACTTAAATATTATAAGTATGTGAGGACCGAGCTACACCACTTCTGAAAATATCGTTCCATTTATACAAATTGTATGGATGGAACAATATTTTCAGAAATAACGTAGCTCAGTGCTACACTTTCGATGCAAAGGAAAAGACCTAATTAGTATTAGTGCTTCTTTTTTAATAATATTCCTAATAAGATATAATTCTGCAGTCAACAAAATGGTGGTTACTGAAGAAATGTGTAAGAGGTCGGTTGTGTTCATTATTAAGTGGCTGGATGTATCAAGCTTGTTTGCTACATAAAAATTTAGAAGTGAAGAAGTATGTTTGCATAAGATGAAAATAAAAAAAAGCGTATATTAAAAAAAGTAATCAAATTAACAATACAATTTGAATTTTGAATGATGCTGTAGCCGCCGCTGGACCCTAAACACATCGGTTTAAAATGGGATCATCTAGTTCCCATTTTCAGGATACCTTTACTCAAATATTGAGCGATGATTCTATAAACACACTTCTCTCAGAAGAAATTAACAGGTTAACTTATGACGATTTTTTAAACTTAGTTGGAGAGCTAAATTTACTGTAAGCTATTATTTATATGAAACATTATAGTCGTAATCAATTTTTATTTATGTTTTTCAAACGAACTAAAGACAAGATTTCATTTTAGATCAAAAAAATGTTTAGACTCCAATGGTAACCAATTAGTATTCGCGGTGAAAAAGGATACAGATTCGACAATTTTTTGGAAGGCCACAGTTCAAATTGCTTGCGTTAAGATTGATCCAGACTGTCAAAAAGTTATTACTTTTAGACTACTCTCATTGAATGAATTTATAAAAGTATTCAAAACCCTCAAGTGCCAGACAGCGGCAGCGGAACAGAGCGAAAGGTATTATTAAAGAAGCTATAGAATATCCTTGGGTAAAGGTGGTCTTCAGTGCCCACTTAAATTTTCAGTGTTATTTTATTAAAATAATAATTAGAATACTTAATATTCGATGGATGAGTCCATTGGCTGAAATTTGTCAAAATAAAAAGGTTATGTTTTCTAATTACCACAATTTTTGCAGGATTATTTAATAAATACGTACTCACCTAATTGGTCCTAGAGACCACCGAATTTAAAGCTCCGTTTTTTCAATCTGAATATGTAATTTTGTGATGGGTGTGCTGTTTACCAGATTATATTTAATTGTTCATTTTATAAATTTTGAAATGAAGCACAAATTCACTATAATGTGACTGACAAAATTATTACTGCAAAAAAAAAATATATATATATATACTCAACCAGCATGACTTGTGACTTCCAGCAAAAATTTTGACTTTGTGACATCCACCCTTTGCAAAGATTTTAGGAAAAAAATAAAAATATGACTTCTTTTAATTAAAAAAATATGGCTGAGCGAAAAATATCACAACCATACACATTTTAAAAAAATAAAACGTCCTATCGTTGTGAGATCCAAAGTATACACAGTATGTATTTTTATTAACAACACTTTGTGACATCCAGAAAACCTTGCATCTTGTGACATCCAGTTGTTACCTCACAGTATACCATTTCTACAGAAAAACTGCCATTCTTATAACATCCAGCAAGTATATAGATACATTTTTAAATTAAGCATCTTATTACATCCTAAACATTTAACACGTTCAGCGCCAAAGCCGACCCTCAAAATCTACGATTTCTTATGGTTTTTTATTCCAATGTGATTTTTGTTGTTTTGTATGTGATAAAATAATTCATTCCATTTTCAAATTATTTTCTTTTTAGTTTTTGATTGTGTATATTTTTAGATACACTGGCCCAAAAAATAGTTTTCGATGAAGTAACTTCTTGATATTTTTTTGATATGTGGAAATCCCTTATAGAGATTCGGTACAGGTTCTCCCTTTCCCAATAGTTTTACCCTTTACCCACTAAAATCACCACCTGAGCAAGTTATCGCCGGCCTCCTGCTAATATCTTTTACATGTTCGTTGGAACTACTTTAAGTATCTATCGACCTTATATGGTTGATTCTCCAGTTTCAAGTGCATTAACACGACCAGTTTGCAAACCTAACCTAACATTACCCGAAAAGTACCCAAAACATAAATCCAGCGGTCTTTATTATTTTTGCGCATAAACTACACTCACCGATTTAAAATTCGATCCATTCAAAATAATTATTTATTTTAAAATGCTCTAACTTTCAAATGCGGAGGCTGATTTATTTGAAGTTTTTAGCAACGTTTAGATAAAATACTGTAGTTTTAACATTTTAACATTATTACTCGGACATCTAAAAGTAATTTAGTACTCGCCGGATATACAGGGGGGAAAAGAAAACAATTTTTTCCTCTACTTTTGACACACCGTGTAGGTTAATTCTGCTAGCAGATCTGCACACAATTAACTTTATCAAGAAGACAACATTTTGTTTTTTTATTTACCCCGATATCTTAATTTGTTTGTGAAATGTGACGGTTTAAAGAAAATGCAACATTCTTAATTTTTTTATTCAGTTTTAGCAGAGTAATACATAATTTTATAAACAACTCAAACAACAAATAAACTAATAATTATTACAAATTAATAACGGGCATTTTCCCCACGAGCGCGAATAACTGCCTCAATGCGTCATGGCATACCCTCTATTAGATATCGAATCTTCATCTGGTCAATCTGATCCCATTCTTGGACCAAAGCATCCCTCAAAAAATTTAAAATACTTGGAGATGGAACTCGGTTATGAACTCGTCTGCCCATCATGTCCCGGACGTGCTCAATTGGATTGAGGTCTGGACTACGTGATGGCCAGTTCATCCTCTGAATTTCTGTTTCGTCTAAATATTGAGATACAATCCTCGCAATATGTGGTCGAGCGTTGTGATGCATAAACATGAATTCGTTTCCTATAAATGGTGCAAATGGAATTACATATGGATCTAGCACATCACGAATATATCCGTAAGCTGTCATTGCTCCGCCGCCAACAATGACTAAATCAGTACGAGCTTCCATGCTTATGCCGCCCCAAACCATTACCGATCCTCTTTCATAACTGAGTCTTGTGGAAAAATTTGCTTGGTCAAACCTTTGGCCTCTTTTTCGGTATCTTCTTTCACGGCCATCAGGAGAACGTAAACAAAACCTTGACTCGTCAGAAAATAAAATCTTACTCCATTCATCGATATTCCAATGTTGATGCTCCCTGGCAAATCGAAGACGTGCTGTTCTGTGATTCCTAAGTAACTCCGGACCAGTTGCAGGTCTTCTGGAGCGTAATCCATGTTCTCGTAATCGCCTTCGAATCGTTATTTCGTTAACAGCTACTTGACGTACTTCTTCTAAACGATTTCGAACCATGACAGCAGCAGTATTTATTTTTCGCAAAACATTTAATGTTACAAAACGATCATCTCGAACATTTGTAGAACGTCGTCTGCCTGATCCTCTTCGTCTCGAAAAACTACCAGTTTCATTAAAACCTTGTACAGCTCTCTGGACGCTACACCTTGTAAGCCCAATATTCTAGAAGTATAATACTGAGTCCTACCATCTTGTACCAGAGCAACTGCTCATGTTGCATCAGTAAGCGTTAAAACCATGATATTATGCTGATAATGAATAATAATGAAACTGCAATTGCCAAGTAATGAATATTTGACAGTTGTCATATTGTGAGTTGGCCACAGCACTCTACTTATTAAGTAGTTTATTTTCCACCGTCATTTAAATTATGACCGTTTCTAAAATGTAGCATTTTCTTTAAACCGTCACATTTCACAAAAAATTAAGAAATCGGGGTAAATAAAAAAACGAAGTGTTGGTAACAAATCAGTTTTCTTGATAAAGTTAATTGTATGCAGATCTACTAGCAGAATTAACCTACAGGGTGTGTCAAAAGTAGAGGAAAAAATTGTTTTCTTCCCTCCCGTATATCCGGCGAGTACTAAATTACTTTTAGACGTCCGAATAATAATCTTAAAACTACAGTATTTTATCTAAAAGTTGCTAAAAACTTCAAATAAATAAGCCTCCGCATTTGAAAGTTAGAGCATTTTTATATAAATCATTATTTTGAATGGATAAAATTTTAAAAAAGAAATTGGCAAAGTTAATAAAACTACCTGTATCTCGGTTATAAATGACGAAAGAACCATTAAGTAAGGTTATTTGGAATATTATCAGTAGCATAAAAAAACTAAGTATTAAAAAAAGAGTGAGACTTCTTAGATTAATTCACTCTAAAATAAAAAAAGAAATAAAATCCGCGTACATCAATATTTATCGCACAGCTACTTAAATATACTATTAAGGTTATAACTCTAAACGGCAAGGCACCGACGATGCACGAACGACGATCGTTTGCAGTCGTTTTTATGTATTAGCTCATCATATTTTTTATGTATTACCTTTGATTTATTTAAATTTATTTAAATTTATTTAAATTTATCTAAATTTATGTAAATTTATTTAAATTTATTTAAATGTATTTAAATTTATTTATATTTATTTAAATTTAAATTAATTTTAATTTATTATAAATATTTGAATTTATAAATTTATTTTATTTTTTATTTGTTTTAATATATTTTAGTTTATTTTATTTTAGTTTATTTTATTTTAATTTATTTTAATTTTAAATTATTTTAATCTTTATTTTAATTTTAAATTATTTTAATCTTTATTTTAATTTATTATAATTTATTTTATTTTTTTTAATTTATTTTAATTTAATTTCATTTGATTTATTTGAATATAAATTACAGTCATCGTCCTCTCACCCATTGTTGATACACCTTGTAATAATATAGCTGCATATATATTTATTAGTCACAGAGAGTAAATGCATTTAAAAAAATTATTGGCTCTATGCGAAACCCAACAAAAAAATTTGGCAGTTAATGTGTTAACATAAAATAGATCTTAAAATGAAAATCCAAATATATGTAAAATAAATTTTTTGGATGTCACATAACCTAGTGTGTAAAGTTCTAATATACTCTATGGTGGATGTCAGATAGTCAGGTGAGTAAGTTTTAATATACTGAATGTTGGATGTCAGACAGTCGAGTGAGTAAATTCTAATATATTTAATGGTGGATGTTAGACAGTCGAGGGACTGAAATATTTAATATACAAAATATACAAAACCAACTGACGCGAGCGCCACCTTCACATCTATACACTGGAACTAAATTTATACTCAAAATTGAAAATCAAGCATTATGACATCCAGCTGAAATTTGTTTGGCACCCTTTTAAATCTCCCCTATGATGTTTGAACCCCAAAAACGTTGTGACATCCGAATTTGGATGTCACATCGTAAACGGATGTTACAAAGATAGCAACATTTTTGCGACATGATGTCACAACGTCGGTAGGACGAATCTATATATTATATATATATACAGGGTGGCTCACGATCAACGGGACGGAGCTTTATGGGAAAACGACCAAAGCTATAAAAAATTCGTTTGGGAGGAATACGTAGGTTACAGACGGCTACAATTTAAAATTTGTTAGATGTATACAGGATGTCCCACATAAGAAAAAAAAATTAGTTCATTAAAAATTATTCAAACAAGAGTAAACAATTAATTTCTGGGAGACTTTTTTTCCTTAAAAATTCAAATAAATCGAAAACTAATAATAATAGTAATAGGGGACCTTTAGTTAACTGACATTATTTTTGATGTAGTTTTTAATTCTACAATAAAAAACAAGGTGTTCCATTAAAAATAATATAACTTTGTATATTTTCTCTTATGTGGGACATCCTGTATACATCTAACAAATTTTAAATTGTAGCCGTCTGTAACCTACGTATTCCTCCCAAACGAATTTTTTATATCTTTGGTCGTTTTCCCATAAAGCTCCGTCCCGTTGAGCG